AAGCTATTCTGTGAAGTTTTGAAATTTTTTATTTTTTTATTTTTTTCGCCACCTAAAAAAATTTAAATTTCACTCAAAGTGGATGGCCACAAGTATTCTAAGCCATTCTGTGAAGTTTTGAAATTTTTTATTTTTTGCTTTTTTTTTTATTTTTTTCGGCACCTAAAAAAATAAAACTTCGCTCAAATTGGGTGGCCACAGGTATTCTAAGATATTCTGTGAAGTTTTCAAATTTTAGAATTTTTTATTTTTTTTTGGCAACTAAAAAAATTAAATTTTGCTCAAAGTGGGTGGCCATAGGTTTTCTAAGCCATTTTGTGAAATTTTGAAATTTTTTATTTTTATTTATTTTATTTATTTTTTTCGGTACCTAAAAAAATTTAAATTTTACTGAAAGTGGATAGCCACAGATTCTAAACCATTCTGTTAAGTTTTGAATTTTTTGATTTTTTGCTTTTTTTTCTCACCTCAAAGATCGTGACTTCCATATGAACATGTGTGTTGAAGAAAATGAATTCCTCATAAATGGTTCTCACTTTTGTTCCAGAAATGAAAAACTAACTTTTTTTTTGTTCTCATTTCTGGTTTCAGAATCAGTTTTGGAAGCAAACTTGTCCCGGAAATAGAAAAATGAAATTGCGTTACCAAACGGGTTTCTGGTCCAAAACTGATTCTGGAAACAAAAAACCAGTTCTGGACAGAACCAGAATGGTTTTCATGCAGCACCTAAGGTAGCGAATGATAATCATTCTGTTCCGGAATGAGTTCCTGAACCAGAAATAGATTTTTCTATTTCTGGTTCCTGGATGAGTTTCTGAGAAAAAAAACCCGTTTGATAATGACAAAAAATTTCTATTTCTAGAACAGAAACCCGTTTGATAACAGCACAAAATTTTTATTTCCTGAAATAAAAACCCGTTTGATAAACAACAGAAAATTCTATTTCCAGGAACAAAAATCCATTTTTTTAGAAATGGAATAAAAATAATAAAAAATCCGAAAAATTCATAAAAATCTTTAAAAAAAATTCAGAAAATCCCAAAAAATTGAAAAATTCCAGAAAAAATCATCAAAATGTCGAGAAAATAAAAAAAATTTAGATTTCGGGAAAATAGGAAATTTATTGAATTTTTTCAAAAAAAAATCAAGAAATAAAAAATTTCAAAACTTCACAAAATTGCTTAGAATACCTGTAGCCACCCACTTTTAGTAAAATTTAAATTTTTTTAGGTGCCCAAAAAAAATCAAAAAATCAAAAATTTCAAAACTTCACAGAATAGTTTAGAATACGTGTAGCCACCCACTTTGAGTGAAATTTAAATTTTTAAGGTGCCCAAAAAAATTCAAAAACTCAAAAATTTCAAAACTTTACAGAATGGGCTTAGAATACTGTGGCCACCACTTTGAGTGAAATTTTAATTTTGGAGGTGAAAAAAAAAAAATCAAAAATTTCAAAACTTCACAGAATGACTTAGAATACATGTGGCCATCCACTTTGAGTGAATTTTAAATTTTTTTAGGTGAAAAAAAACATAAAAATCAAAAATTTCAAAACTTCACGAACGACTTACAATACCTTCTAACCCACTTTGAGTAAAATTTAATTTTTTTAGATGCCCAAATGGTATTTTTTATTTTTTTTTGGTTCCTAAAGAAAATTAAATTTCACTCAAAGTGAATGGCCACATGTATTCTAAGTCACTCTGTGAAGTTTTGAAAATTTTCTTTTTGCTTATTTTTTTTCAACACCTAAAAAAAATTAAATTTCACTCAAAGTGGGTGGCCACAGGTATTCTAAGCAATTATGTGAAGTTTTTTATTTTTTATTTTTTTTTTATTTTTTTATTTTTAGGCACATAAAAAAATTTAAATTTCTCTTAAAGTGGATGACAACAGGTATTCTAAGCCATTTTGTGAAGTTTTGAAATTTTTTCTTTTTATTTTTATTTTTTTCGGCACCTAAAAAAATAAAATTTCGCTCAAAGTGGGTGGCCACAGGTATTTTAAGTCATTACGTAAAGTTTTGAAATTTTTACTTTTTGCTTATTTTTATTTTTTTGGCATATAAAAAAATTTAAATTTCACTCAAAGTGGGTGGCCACATGTATTTTAAGCTATTCTGTGAAGTTTTGAAATTTTTTATTTTTTTTTTTTTCGACCTAAAAAATTTAAATTTCACTCAAAGTGGATGGCCACAAAGTATTCTAAGCCATTCTGTGAAGTTTTGAAATTTTTGATTTTTTGCTTTTTTTTTTTTTTTTCGGCACCTAAAAAAATAAAATTTCGCTTCAAATTGGGTGGCGCGTATTCTAAGATATTCTGTGAAGTTTTTAAATTTTAGAATTTTTTATTTTTTTTTTGGCAACTAAAAAAATTAAATTTTGCTCAAAGTGGATGGCCATAAGTTTTCTAAGCCATTTTGTGAAATTTTGAAATTTTTTATTTTTTTTTATTTTTATTTATTTTTTTCGGTACCTAAAAAAATTTAAATTTCACTGAAAGTGGGTAGCCACAGATTCTAAACCATTCTGTTAAATTTTGAAATTTTTGATTTTTTACTTTTTTTTTTCACCTCAAAGATCGTGATTTCCATATGAATATGTGTGTTGAAGAAAATGAATTCCTTAGAAATGGTTCTCACTTTTGTTCCAGAAATGAAAAACCAACTTTTTTTTGGTTCTCATTTACGGTTTCGTAATCGATTTTGGAAGCAAACTTGTCCGGAAATAGAAAAATGAAATTGCGTTACCAAACGGGTTTACGGTCCAAAACGATTACGGAACAAAAAACCAGTTCGGACAGAACCGAATGGTTTTCATGCAAGCACCTAAATGGCCAATTTTTTCAGCACTACTGGGAGGTAATTAAATGGGGTGTATTTAACGAAGTGCGAAGTTTTTTCGATTCAGGGGGTATCTAAAACCTGAATTGAACAAAACCTATATTACCTTGATTCCCAAAACCCAAAATCCGGAAAGACTAGACAATTTCGCCTAATCAGGTTATGCAATTATGCATACAAAATAATTTCAAAGGTTCTGGTGAATAGATTGAAACCACTGCTCCCTAATCTTATAGAAGTGGAGCAAAGTCAATTTGTGGGAGGGAGGCAAATTCAAGATAACATTCTCATTGTGCAAGAAGTGTTACATCAACTGTGAGTGAGAAAGAGAGAGAAAATTCCAGGTTGTGCTGAAATTGGATATGAAAAAAGCCTACGATAGAGTCGAATGGGATTTCTTGGAAGCATGTATGCGAAGATTGGGTTTATGTGAGAAATGGGTTGATAGAGTAATGAAATGTGTTCAAATCGTCTCTTTCAGTGTGAAATTTAACGGAGAGCCACTTTCTTTCTTTCATCCAACAAGGGGTATCAAACAAGGTGACCCTATATCTCCTTATTTGTTTATCTTGGTGGCTAACACTCTCTCAGTGATAATGAAAAAAGTAGCAATGGAGAAAACCATCACGGGGATAAAGCTGAACAGGTATTGTCCTACTCTATCTCACCTTTTATTTGCGGATGATTCCATATTCTTCTTAGATGGAAAGGTGATAGAATGTAAGAATCTTGCTTCAATTTTGAGCCAATACTGTCTAGCTTCTGGGCAAGAAATCAATTTGAACAAGTCAGGGATTCAGTTCAGTACAGGCTGTCCACATGATCTAAAATGTAATATGGCTGGTATGTTAAGAGTCCCTATAATTGAGAAAAAAGGAAAGTATTTGGGGATTCCTTCGGACTAGGGAGAATCAAAAAAACAAATGTTTGCTTGGATAAATGCAAGAGTGAATATGAAGCTAGAGGGTTGGAAAGAAATATGATATCCAAAGCCGACAAAGAAGTCTCAATTAAGATGGTGGTCCAAGCCATTCCCCAATATGCTATGTCCATATTCAAAATTCCAATCTCAATATGCCAAGCAATTGAAAAGAAAGTTGCTAACTTTTGGTGGAAAAATAGCAAATCATGAGCTGGACTTCATTGGAGAAATTGGGAGGTTTTAAAAACCCTAAAAGATGAGGGTGGAATGGGATTCAACGATTTAATATCCTTTAATAGAGCTATGCTCGGGAAATAAGCTTGGAGGTTGTCCCACAATTCAGCCTCGTTGTGGTGCTAAGTCCTTGAAGGGCTATACTTTCCTAGAAGAACATTTTGGCAGGCAGAAAAAGGGTCTTGCCCTTCTTGGGGATGGCAGAGTATGTTGGCGTGGAGAGAAGCAATAGCTAACTTAGTTAAGTGGACCGTTGGAACGGGGGAAAACATCAGCATTCGTGAAGATAGATGGCCAAAGAGAGGTATTATAGGAGGAACAGCGAACTTTAGAGAACCTACTAAAGTTGCTGAACTGATTCTACATGAGTAGAATAGATGGGATGAATAGACTCTTCACCAACTTTTTGATGAACAGACTATAAATGACATCTTATCAGTGTCCTTAAGATCTCAAACTCTACAGGACAAACTGGTGTGGACTGTCACTAAATCAGGCGATTTTACAATGAAGAGTGCTTATAATTGGATTCAAGCACAAAGGAAAAATCAACCCACAACACAAGAATTATCATCATTCCAGCCACCCCGCAAGTAATGGCACCAAAAATTTGGCAAATGAAAACCACCCCCCCCCCCCCCCCCCCCGCCCAAAATCAGAATTTTCCTATGAAGAGTTTGCCAAAACGCTTTACCAACAAAGGAAAACCTTCACAAGTGTCGGATTCTACCTGACTCAAGATGCCCTCTCTACAACCAAGCAGCCGAGACGGTTGAGCACCTTTTTTTGCTTTGTCCCTGGACGAGTTCGGTCTGGACAAACCCTGCAATCCAAGTCCAGATTACAAGTCATAAAATTACACGAATTGAGGTATGGCTGCTTAATTTTCTTGAACGGCAAAACCACCTTCCCCCTCTTGATACTGTAGCAGCAGCCCTCTGGTGCATCTGGAAGGCCAGAAACGATTTCGTTTTCCGGCGTCAATTTCCAAACCCAGAAGCAATGGTTGATTCGGCCCTCACTATACTCCACAATTTTAGAAGATGGAACCCCAAAGAAACTAAATCTAACTCGGTGAACAGGAACCTACCGGTCATCTGGCAACCACCGAGGCGAAACGCACTGAAGATCAACACCGACGGCTCATACGTGTCGAGGTCGCCAATGGGTGCCATTTCATGCCTTATTCGAGATGAATCGAGGGTGCTTTGCGACGGATTTGCCAGATTTGTTCGGACGTCGTCCATTTTGCAGCTGGAAGCCCTAGCTCTTCTAGAAGGCATAAAGCACGTGCAAGAGAGAAGAAGTGAAGTGTTTGAGTATGAGTCAGACAGTCTGGAAGTAGTCAACACCATTAACAGCTCAAATCAGCCTCTGTGGGAAGTCAACGCAATTATTTTAGAGGTCCGCGACTTACTGGGCCGGCTTTCTAATGTCTCTGTAGCCCATATTGATATAGGTGCTAACCAAGCTGCAAACTGGGTGGGTAAGCCAGAGACAAAATTCTCTTTCTTTGGAGTAGGTAGCCAACCCTCCTCAAAATCTTTGAAATTTACTTTGTTTTGATGCTCATTCGTCGAGCTTTTATGGTTAAGAACTCCTTAATTCAATAAAATTAGTTTTTCCCGACAAAAAAAAAATGGAGGAAAGACGATAAAGAGATGAATTAATTTGGGAAGAATCAATTATCTCAATCGACACCGACTTTTTATCTCTTGTGTGCAAGGAGGGACAAAGTTTCTCCATGAAATGAGGAGAGGAGCATGTTGGAAAGCCCATGGGCTCCTTTTGTAAGTATATCATCTTGGGATATACTTTTTGAGTCAACTCGTTTGAACCAATCTCACTACATTATGATTGGGGGTAGGAATTGTTGTCATGCTATGTGCTCCTTTTGTAAATATATCATTTTGAGAAAAGATTCTTGTTAACAAGCGTCCAAGGACACCAGTTAAGACTATTAAAAATTACTGACATGGCACTTCAACACATCTTCAAAATTGAAAAAGATCATATTTCGAGAAAATGACATGCTTCAAATAGAAATGTTCAGATTTCTAAATTACAATTAATGAATTTTAAAAAGTGTCTAAGAGGAACTTTTTAATATTTCTCAAAGGGAAAATCTCCCAAAATATATAAGTAGATCAACATCAAGGACATATTAATAATTTGAAGAAGAACAATCTTTTCGTTAATTCACCTGTGGACGTTGCTATATAAAACTGGATCTAGGAATTGGAGGCCGAGGCCCATTAATTTTGTTCCCTTTCTTTGTTAAAGTCATTCTTTGCAGTCGCATTGCCGTTCCATGGAAGCATTTATTAAAACAAGTCAGGGTACACATAAAAAAGTTCTAGTTGATGATCGTAAACCTATAAATAAGAAAAATGAATATTCGACTTCTCACCGTGATATGCTAATCCAACAAATTAAATGTACAATCCCATGGAAAATTAGACTTTTGACATGTTGATGCAATTTTAATTCTTATTTTTTTAGCGGCAATGTTAATGTATTTAAGTGATATTGAAAACACGTCATCAAGGATTGCTCATTCATTGCATCTGGGCTTCTTAATTTGATACGGTTCATCATCACAAAAGGTTTGAAAATGAATGGCTACTGCACCCACAAAAAATTTCAGAAGGACCTCTAAATAGCCAAGAGATTGTTATAGAAGGGCAAGTAAGGAGAACAATCAAATATTTTCGTCTTGGAAATGTTTTATTAGTCAAAAACCATTGAGTTTCAAAGTTAGTGGCGGGAAGAGTTAAAGGAGCCACCTAGAGTACGCCGTTAATGAATTCTAAAGGACCAAAATGGGGTTTATTATTTGGCTGGCCGATCATATATGATTCAATTTTGTGGGGCTTTCATGTGCCTTTTACTATGGTGCAAGTGTCACGGGTCGATCGATCTAGCGTTCCCACACCCGTGCGGCCTTAGGAATTTCTCCCCAAGTAGGCCTTCTCACACTCACACTCACAAGAACTTTAGAGAGAGAAACTCTAAAGAGAGAAGCTCTGAACTTGTATTGCTTCTTGAAAATGAGAGATGATCAAATGAGGGGGAGGAGAACCCATTATATACAAGTATCGGGCTGACCGTATCCGTAGATCTCACCCCGATCTCAACGGTCGAAATCGTACTCCCCCAACTACCCCACCTATCGCATTTATTACGGAAGGGTACAATTACCGTATCGCCCGCCCCCAGGAGTATTCTAGAAGACATCTAGAAAACCCTAGTACTAGAACACTCGGGGCCCGCCTTCTCGTCCAAGGGTCGGTCACGGTCCATCGTCCAGAAAACCTCATGAACGATCCAATTCTTCGGGCCGTGACATTCTCCCCCACCTATTCGGGCGACGCCCTCGTCGCGTCTTCGGCATGGAAAGCATCGATATGTTTCTTGAATTGCCAAAGAGCTTCCTCGGGCTCCCAATTTGCTTCACTCTCCGGAAGGCCCTTCCATCGGATCAAGTATTCTCGCTTCGGCGCACGATATCTCTTTCGTATGACTCGATCCGCCATTATGAAATCGACGTCTCGATCATAGGAAATCTTTGCTCCAAGCGGTGCCCGTTGCGACTCCCCTCGATCCGGGTCCTCTTCGTCTACACGGAAAGGTTTAAGCATACTAACATGGAATACCGGATGTACCTTAAGCTTTGGTGGAAGTTCCAGTTTGTATGCGACCTTCCCGACTCGATGCAACACTCGGAATGGCCCCTTGTAGCGACGTATAAGCCCTTTATGCACGTCCTTGTATCGGAGTACAAGGTGTAGCTTGGCCAACACCAAGTCCCCGACTTGGAATTCCACGTGCCGTCGCTTCTTGTCGGCCCAATACTTCATGTGCTTTGAGGCCTTGTGTAGACACGTTCGCGCCAAGTCCGCTTGCTCATGCCACTCCTTGGCGAACTTGAAAGCGGATGGGCTACTCCCCTTATAGCCCGTTGCAACCGTACTCGGAGTGAGTGGTTGTTGTCCCGTCGCGATCTCGAACGGACTTTGGTTCGTGGACTCGCTCTTTTGAAGATTGTAGGAGAATTGGACTACATCGATCAACTTCGCCCAATTCACTTGTGTCGTACTTACATAGTGTCGAAGGTACAACTCCAAGAGTGCATTGACTCGCTCCGTTTGTCCGTCGGTTTGAGGATGCAAGCTCGTGGAAAAGTTGAGATCCGACCCTAATAATTTAAAGAGTTCAGTCCAGAACCTACCCGTGAATCGAGGGTCGCGATCGCTCACGATCGTTTGTGGCACTCCCCAATATTTGACGACGTGCTTCACGTATAGCTTGGCCGCCTCCTCGGCCGGACAATCTTTTGATGCGGGCACGAACGTTGCGTACTTGGAAAATCGATCCACCACGACCATAAGAGTCCGACACCCTTCGGACTTTGGCAAGTTGACAATGAAGTCCATGGAGACACTCTCCCATGGACGCTCCGGGATGGGAAGTGGCTCCAAAAGACCCGCCGACGACCTTTGTTCAAGCTTGTCTTGTTGGCATACAAGACATGTCCGTACATATGCCTCAACGTTGTCGCGCAAGTGAGGCCAAAAGTATCGATCCTCCACAAGCGCCATAGTGCGGTGGATCCCCGGATGACCCGCCCACTTGGAATCATGGCACTCCCGTAGGATTTCCTTCCTTAGTTTCCCATGGAGAGGTACGTACAACCGTCGTCTCTTGGTGTAAAGCAAGTCGCCTTCACACCAAAATTGCCGGGTCTTGCCTTCCCGAGCATGGTCGAGGATTGCCTTGGCGGTTGGATCATGTTTGAGCCCTTTCTTGATCCGCTCGTTCCATGGATTCTCAGGACGAGTTAGGGTCGACGCCAACCCCGCTTTTCGACTAAGAGCATCGGCCACGGAGTTCGCCTTCCCAGGCTTGTACTCGAGCACATAATCGAACTCCGCCAGGAAATCTTGCCAACGAGCTTGCTTCGGGCTTAACTTCTTTTGGGTTTGGAAGTAGCTCGTGGCTACGTTGTCCGTCCTTACGACGAACCGGGATCCCAAGAGATAATGCCTCCATGTACGAAGGCAATGTACCACCGCGGTCATCTCCTTCTCTTGGACCGTGTATCGTCGTTCGGTATCGTTCAACTTTCTCGACTCAAATGCTACCGGGTGTCCATCCTGCATAAGAACACCACCAATAGCAAAATCGGAAGCATCGGTCTCTACCTCGTAAGGTTTGGCGTGATCGGGTAGCACGAGCACCGGCTCCTCGGTCATGGTTTGCTTCAACCGATCAAACGCCCTTTGGCATTGGGTCGTCCACTCCCACGGTTTCTCCTTCTTCAACATATCCGTGAGTGGCACGGTGATGCTCGAATATCCTCGGATGAACCGTCGATAATAGTTGGTAAGGCCAAGGAATGACCTTAGATCCGTCACCTTGGTCGGCGGCTCCCATTCTACCATGGCCTTAATCTTGTCCACGTCCATCCGTACACGTCCACCCCCGACGATGTGTCCCAGGAATGGAACTTCTCGTTGTGCAAAGACACATTTCTCCCGTTTGACATATAAGTCATTCTCCCGTAGAACTCGGAAGACTCGTTGGAGATGCTCGATGTGTTCTTCGAGTGTCCGGCTATACACCATGATATCATCAAGATAAACCACTACAAATTGATCGAGGAACGGGTGGAGTACCTTGTTCATGAGTGTGCAAAATGTGGCTGGAGCATTTGTCAAGCCGAATGGCATGACGAGGAACTCGTATGACCCATACCGCGTTACACAAGCGGTCTTTGGCTCGTCCCCTTTTGCAATCCGCACTTGATAGTATCCTGATCGAAGATCAAGCTTGGTGAACCATCGTGCTCCTCCAAGTTGATCGAACAAGTCGGCGATGAGAGGGATCGGGTACTTGTTCTTGATCGTCAGCTTGTTTAATGCCCGATAGTCGATGCACATCCGGAGTGATCCATCGTGCTTCTTTTTGAATAGAACCGGGGCACCAAACGGAGCCTTCGATGGTCGGATATACCCCGCATCGAACAACTCCTTGAGTTGTCTTCTTAATTCCTCCAACTCGGGAGGCGCCATGCGATAGGGTGCCGTGGCGGGTGGTCGAGCGTCGGGCACGAGCTCGATTTTATGATCCACCTCCCTTTGAGGCGGAAGCTTCTTCGGGAGCTCGGGGGGCATCACGTCCTTGAAAGAGTCGAGGACTCGGGTTACTTCTGCCGGGACATCACTCCTTTCACCCTTTGGATCCTCAACCTTCAAAGTTGCCAAGAAAGTAGCTTCCCCTTTTCTTGCTCCCTTAGTAACTTGCATTGCCGATATTATCTTTTGGTCACGACCCGACTCTCGGTTGACCGGGATCACACATTGACAACGTGCGTCCAAGATACAAATACAATCGGCAAATGGGACAATAAGAGCATCTATTCTATCAAGGAATCCCAAGCCAATGACAAAGTCATAATCGTCAAGTGGAATTACCTCGATCGTCTCTTTGCTTTTCCATTGTCCGAGTTGGAACTCCACATCCTTAGCCAACCCGTTGGTAGGGACTTCCTTGGAGTTCACCAT